GTGTTAATTTTGAAAAATGTAGTATAATTAGTTGTTAGTGGAATTTTGAGTTTATATTAAAATAATATTTCAAACAAAATAATTAAAGTTGAATTTATGTAAAAGAGATAGATGATGTGAAGTGATGGTTAGTTAAAACTATGTGAATGAATGAATAGTAAATTAAAGTTGATATGGTGTGTAAGAATGATGATTGATATTATTTAATAATATTGATAATATTAAGGATTATGAAGTTGGGTTAAAGTTGAGTTAGATTTTAAGTATGAATTGAGTAACGATTCAAAAAAATTAAAAACAAACACCCCCTTAGAGTTTCCAACATGCATTAAAGCTAGTAATTCTCAACTCAAATAACTCAAAACAAGCAGATAACATAAATGATGTTATTGACCAGAATGGAAAGTGGTCTCTTGAGCAACAGATCTTCAAAAAGTTGTGTGTGCCTTACACATTAATTTGCAAGAGCTGGATATGAAACGAGAAAGAAGTAATCTTACTTAGATATTCATACGCCAGAATCATTGAGGTTCCCCAAGCTGACATACTGAAAAATCTAGGGCCAAGACCTCGATAAAATCCGGTCCACCCATCTTCAGCAATCAAATCCTTAACTACTTGCCTTGCACTTGGTCTTGTTTCATGACCCATTACCTGGAGCATATTAGAAAACAGAATGCACATCATACCAAATGATACAAGTCCAAATGTTTCAGAGTCCTATGCAATAACTCAATAGTAGATATTAAACCAAAAGGGAAATTAATACGAAAGAGAGGCAGGTTTACTTGCAAACGTGTTTTTATTGTGTCCAGTGGAGTTGTTATACATGATGCAGTGGCACCAGCGATAATGCCTCCGGCTGCTTGGACCAAAACAATGTTGTGCTTGTTTGGAGCTGCAATGCCATCATCCAAGTGTCTGTTGGATCAATGAAAAAGGAGGAACGGAAAGGGTGCACTTAGAAATGAAAACCGCAGCATTTAAGTCGGTACTATAAACTTTGCAGAAAGATTAAAGAAATTATAAAAACAAGCAGCTAGCTTACATCACATGAAATTCTGGGTTCAATCAGAAAAATATTAATCATCAGTAATGGATCTTAATAAATTATATTTGGAAAAAAAAAAATGTCAAAAAGAATTTGCCAGAAATTCCTTCTGTAACCCTTTGACCTTTTTATTTGATTTTGTTTTTTTCACTTGCACCCACATGCCTACTATTTGGTGTGGAGAAAATATTAACGATTATTATTACCCCCTTCAACCCTCCCGATCTCAACAGAAAGAAAAAAGAAAAAATTATGATGCCTATAATCAGTGCTAAATGCCCTACTCAATTTTTGTAGTCGTATATAGTGATTTATCATTAGCGAGAAATTTGACTAAATAACAGTAATAGGTTGCCTCTATGTATCTGCTTCCTGTATATAGGGGGTATGAGGTTTAATGCACCTCCAGATGAAGCGTTGGCTCGCACCATAGCTTGCCCACCAGACGGCACTCGATGGAGAATAAGTGATCACAGACAGACCAAATCCTCTATATAATCCACGAATTCCATCAGACTTTATGATTTTACGCACGACATCCAGACCCCCATTGTAGGCCGCATGGCCTGAATACCCTTGCACCATTAATCTCTGACTAACCTTTTTTTTGGAAAGAAAATATCAGTTATGTATTGTATTAGTGCCTAGAATAAATTCGATAAAGTATCAAGAAAGAGAAATCCAAACGAAAACTTAACAAGGTGATGACAAGAAAAATCACATTCTATAGGATATCATAAAAGTTAAAACTCGTTTTTTTCAGAACAGAGCATAAAAATTAAGAGAGGTTCTTATAGGTAAAAGCAGATATATGATTTGCATTTCAATTGCATCATATGCTCTAAAAAAACTATTAATAGGAAAGCCATTTCCGTAGGATCCTACTCCCTACTAGATTCAAATGAGCAATACAAAATCTTGAAAACAATTTACAAAACAAATTATACCACGTCAACTGGAACAAACACAGATTGGGTACAGAGAGAAGCCATCATGCCGGCAACCCCGTTGGCTATAGCCGCCTGCGTGGGTTCAGACAATTTGAACGGCTCGACCATCTTGTAAGCAGGCACTTTTGTCGTCTCTAATGTGGTGAGAAATATGACTCGAGTGGGTATAGCTCCCGTGACCACAGTCCCAAAACCTCTATACAAACCCTTAATCCCATCCGTTTTGAGCAGGCCTTTGATGACGGAAATCGCGTTTCTTTCCACGGCACCGTGCGACGCAACTTGCATCCGGGTCTTCATGACTGAGATAGGGTAAAGTGCCACTGTAACTCCCGAAAAAATTCCAGCCCCAACAACGTAGAACTTAGTTTTATTGAGCCTGCAGGGGCAAAAACAATCAGTAATTACTTAAGAAAATGAAATCCCAGAGATTTCCAAAGCACATAATGGAACCAAGCATACAAATTATAGAAAATGCACCTGAAGCAACAATAATATATGTTCCATAATTGATTTAACTTCAATTGCAGCAAACATAACTTCAAGAACTGATTTGTTTCCAAGAACTTCAACATGAATTTCAATTCAGAAATGACATCATCATCAAGAAAAGCAATCTGAAAAGGAAAAGCTTCTTCGATCTGTCGATTAACAGGCGAATAATCGAAATCAATGAAGCAAGCTTACTTGTCCCAATTAATCTCCGTTTGCCTATGAGTCGCCGCAGTATCCATTGAAGCCTTGACCCGAGAAGAACAAAAGGGGAAGAGGAAACAGAATCGAACAAAAGAGCTACTTATTTGGTACAGGAGAAGGTCATCATCGTGTCCCGTGGAAAAGAAAAGGAAAATCCACAGAACTGAAAATCCTCCGAGAAAATGGCGAATACAGATTTGAGAGGAAATGTGAAATTGAAACAAAAAATAAATAAATAAATGAAACAAGTATTTTTATGGAAATTCGCGGATCCTCGCCTTTCTATTTGTACCGTGGAACTTGCCGTGCTATATATCGTTAATCTATAATTATATAAAAAAAAATGTTGGAAAAACACTTTTATAACCTAAAAAAATAAAAGGTTTGACTTACTATTGGTGTTAATTTCGAAAAAAAATACAATGTGAATCTTTAGAGCATGATTGGATACAAATATTTCTCAAAAAAATCCAAACATTTTTAACTCAATCACTTTTTTAACTCAACTTTAACTCAACTCACTATCATCAATATTATCAATATAATTAAATAATATCAATCAATCATTCTTACACACAACATCAACCTTAATTCACTATTCATCTACTCACATAAATTTAACTAACTATCACATCACATTTTCTCTCTCTTACTTTTACATCAATTTAATTTTAATTATTTTATTTTAAATATTATTTTATTATATCCACTAACAACTAACCATACTTATTTTTTCAAATTTAACCAACCCAAATCAAAACAAAAACAAATTTATATCCAAGCATGCTCTTAAGAATTAAATTTAATCATATTGTTAGACAATTTAGCCCAATTTTCTTTCCAACTATTTAGTAACAGAATTTGGATGTCAGTTTTTAGTAACAAATTTGGAGATTCTTATGCCAAAACTTGAATCTCATTTTTCGTACCAAAATTTGAGTCTCATTTTTTTCGTAACAAATTTGAAAATTATAATTAATTTAAAAAACCGTGCAAGATACAAATTTAGGAAACAAATAGTTGTACAATTATTAACAAATTTTTTTAATATTTTTGAATAATTTTTTCTTTAAAAATGTGTGTAAATTGGATAAAACCACGTGCAATTTTTATTTTAATACAAAACTGAGATTTGGAAGGAAATACATTCAAAATCATATCCATATTTTTTTATAACAAAATTTGTTCATCTTTGATATTAAAAGTCAAACTTTATCCAATTATTTATTAAATAAAGTTCAAATCAAGTAGAAATCGTGTGCAACTTTTCAAAAATTGGATGCGCCAAATTTTTTGGATACTTATGTTTTTTTATTAATCACATTTTACCGAGATTTTGGTAAGTTCATATCTTTTTTTTTGTTAAGTTCATATCAATTTTTTATGGAAAAAAACAATTGCATAAATCTTAACAAATTATTCTAATTTTTTATTAGAATTAATTTCAATTCAATTTGTTCGGTAAAAAAATGCAATGTCAGGAAAATTCGGCTACATTTTTTGAAAAAATTGATGATTCTTTCACTTTGTTTTAACCATATATACAGATCAGTTTGTTTGGTAAAAAACGGTGTTTTGGTACAAAAATTCAGTTTCATTTTTTAGAAAAAAACTAATTATTCTTTTCGATTTTTGTTAATCAATATTTTATTTAGAACTAAAAGAATAAATAAAATGTTGTGAAAATCCCTAAAAATCTCTACTTTTTTCTACTTAAATTTTGTTTAATAATAATATCCCTTATTTTTTTTTTGAAAAACATAATTTGTTAACTAATAAATAGTAGTGTTCGTTCCATTATTGTCATGTTTTTCTTGTTTATTTTATGTTTATTTCTCCCCATTTTAGGTCTTTTCTTAGGACTCTTCGGTCTTTCCAGTCGTTTCTCGTGTTTTAGTTTTATTTTAGGTTGTATAGTATTTTCGTTGCTTTTTTCCTCCTATTTTCTCGTGTTTTTGTGTTTGTTCGGTTGTGGTGGTTTTCAGGATTCAGACGACGAAAGGTACTTGTGTCCGGTTCCTAGGATCCCAGGTCGGTTCGTACGACCAATGCATGCGAGGATCAAGTCCCCAGCGTGAGCAGTACTCGAGCGGCGTAGCCGAGCACGCGAACAGTAGAAGAAAGGGCAGATTTTTGGACAAACAGAGCCTTAGCGCCGCTAAGGCCCCTTTGGATAGCGGCGCTTTGGGCAGTCCAGCGGGCAGAGCCGAGCAGCTAAGAAGCCTTAGCGGCGCTAACACCTTAGCGCCGCTAAGGTCTGTTTTAAAACGGCCGCGTTTTTCTTGGATTTCAAATGGGGGAGGATTATGAGATCGATGAGGGCATTAGTTTTTCATTATTCAGACTTCGTTTTTCAAGCTTTTCATCACAAAACACATCTTTCTCTTAATCTTTCATCTTGGATTGGATTTTGAGTGGAAAAACTCGTTCTCTAGCTTGTGGATTTGGATTGTTCATCGTTTTTCTCGACATTGGGTTTGGTAATAATTATAAGCTCTCGTTTTTATTTTGTGAATGAATGTGATGGTTTATCTTATTGTGAATGTTTGGGTTGAGGTTACATGAGTAGCTAAATTCATTAGCTAGGGGTAGGGGATTATCGTTCTGGTTCGATTTTGTTTATGCGCATGATTAATTGCTCAATCTTTTTGAGTTGTGCTTAACCTAGAGTTTAGATGCTTGATCACCATCTTAATCTAATTAATCGATTTTGAAACCGAAAGGGGAGAAATCATTCGACCTAGGCTCGTTAAGAATAGACTTATTCGGTAACGTATTGTCTATGTGCTAATTGATTCGTTATTGATTTGTTTACGTTTATTCTCTTGTTTCGTGAGATATTGAAAATGAACCTCTAGATGAGTTAGTTTTTGAGTCCTTTAGTCAAGTAATTGATTGTTCGTAAATTATTTTGAGAACCGGAAACGATATCCCCGATACCCTAGCCCCTTTATCATTATTTGAATTTAAACTTTGAATTGCGAGTTTGAAATAGATAGTCTTGTTCTTGTTATTCGTAGTTGATAAAATCAAACCAAGCCAATCGAATTAGAGTGTTTAGGTCTTCTTTTATCTTTTCGTGTGATTGAATATACGTGCAAAATAATCTGGCCGACCTTCCTTGTGATACGACCCGTGGGACGAATCTTTTGATTCTACTCCGGTAAAAATACTTACAACAAATTGGCGTCATTGCCGGGGAAGGTTTAGGACTTATTTTGTGCGCCTATTCATTTTGTTTTCAGTGTTTCTCTTGTTTTCATGATTTCTTGATTTTTTGTGTTTCTTTTGTTTGATTTCTTTGTTTAGTTGTAGTGATTTCCTTTAATTTGTTTTTTTCCTTGTTCTCTCTCTTGTCTATTAGGTGCCCGTGAAGTTTTGTTGTTTTTGTTTATGCATACCAGGAGTGGTCGCGTAATCATCCTAAACGACGAATCCATCCAGTAAGACCTACGAGATTTGTTAGCCAGTCTTGCTCCAGTATCATCTGCATCAGAAAACCAAACCGACATGGCACAGAACGATCAAGATGAGGAAGTTAACAATCCTCCTAGGTCTCTGCTTCGCGATATGGCTCAACCGGTGATTGGGCCAGTGACTTCGTGCATCAGAATGGGGACGGCAGCTCGAAACTACGAGCTCAAAACCATCCACTACAACCAACTCCCATCCTTCCATGGCCTACCTAACGAAGACCCGCTCCACTTTATACGAGAGTTCTATAATGTGCTCCAAACTTTTCCACTCCACGGGCTAAACGAGGATCAATTGAAGATGAGATGCTTTCCGGAGACTCTCAAGGATCGGGCTAAGGCTTGGTTTATGACACTTGCTCCAGAGTCTCTTACCACTTGGGAGCAAGTGTACACGAAATTCATCGGGAGGTATTACTCCCACCAGAAAACTCAAGAGCTGAGTTCACAAATTGTCTCTTTCGCCCAACAACCGCACGAGCCACTTCACGAGGCGTGGGAACGCTTCAAGGACCTACAGAGACAGTTCCCACACCACAATCTTCCTCCGGCCCTTTTGATGAATGGCTTCTATGATTCTGTCAACCAGAACCTTCAGTACATGGTGGACAATGCAGCTGGTGGAGACATCGGGGTGAGAACGGCAGAGGAGATGATGGATATCTTTGAGGCGTTGAGTTCTAGCTCGTCTCAAAAGAGCAGTCGAGGAAAGAGAGCGGTGGTCAATGAAGTATCTTCTGGACGAGACATGATGGCCCATCAGATAGCCGAGCTTAGGGAGCAAGTGCGGCTACTGAACGCTCGGACAATGCAACCAGTACAAACCATGGCAGTAGATACATGCGGGGCGTGTGGAGCTCAAGAGCACAAGTCAGAGGTGTGCCCGTCGGCATTCGATCAGGACCTTGGAGATCAATATGCCGACGTCAATGCTCTTCAAGGATATCAGAACCGACAACCCAATGACCCCTTCTCAAACACGTACAATCCCGGGTGGAGAAACCACCCACACTTCTCGTGGTCCAACAACAACAACACCCTCCAGCCACCACGTCCAAACTTCAACCAACAGCAGCCCCGTCCGAACTTCATGCAGCAGCAACCCCGCCCCAACTTCATTCCTCGTCTGAACTACCAACAACAACAACAACCGCAATAGCAAGCCCAAGGGTTCGGATCGAGCTCGTCGAACCAAGATGACAAGCTGGACAAAATCCTTCAGTTCATTACGAACCAAGACTCATCTATTAAGCGTCTCGAGACACAAGTGGGTCAGCTTGCCACGAGAGTCGGGAACACGGAGGCTGAGTCAGACAAGGGGAAACTTCCGAGCCAGCCCGAGCAAGCAAAGGCGATAACAGTGTTGAGGAGCGGGAAGGAAGTGGACAACAAAGTAAGAATGCCCGAGCCTGATGACCCCAAACCAACCGACCAGCTCAAGAAAACCGAGGAGAGCGCCAAGAGCACAGAAACCAACTCAGGAAAGCCGAAAGATGGCTTGTTGTTGCACAAGTCACCGAACCCCTACAAACCACGCATACCGTTTCCGAGCCGACTTCGGGATG